AGTATTTTTCTTGACAGATATAAATAATGAAATTTCCTGTATATTTTTCCATATAATGTTTATGTCAACGATTTATATCGCATGTGACGCAGTGTGATGGCAGCGAAGTATAAGCGATCTCAGAAAAACCTGTTGGCTACCATCGCCCACCATCATCTGCATACATAGTAAACATGAGATTGATGAAACAAGAAAAAAAGATATTAGCTTATAAGTGTAGTGTTTCAACATTTTTTAGATTCATAATCATCTTTCGCTCTTATATTCTATCTTTCTTTTCCATTTTCTATTTTCCTTCATCTTTTCCACTCCTATCCTCTTTTCACGAAAAAAATCAATATCGATTGTAGTTGATGAAAGATTGATGACCTTATTAAAAATTGTATGTGTTCTATTTAAAACTTCTAATCGGATATTTAGATTGATGGCGTCAGAGAAAACTCATAATAAAAATTCTTAGAAAATTTCTATTAAAAAATAAATATTATTTTTTAAAATAAAATAATATTTGCAATTGATAGAATAGAGTTTTGTAAAATATAAAAACTCTCCTTTTGTTGTAAAATTTTATTTCGGAATAAAATCAGATTGATCTCAAAATTCGACAACTATCATGTAGTTTGTTTCGTTTTTAATTAAAATATGGATATAAATATACAATTTATTGAATTATCGGAATATAGGAGAGTTTTCGGTATACTTTACAAATCTATTCTGTCGATTGCAATGTTGTTTTATTAAAAAATATTTACATTTTAATGTAGTTTTTGCAAGAGAGATTTTCTTTATGTATTTTTTTTACATTTGACGTCACAATCCAAGACGGCTGCATTAAGCAGTCACGAGCTTTGCTACATTTTTTATACTAATAGAAATGCATTACTGGAAGGCCATATAAAGAACTATTTCCGATAAGTAAATACTTCAATCAATCAATTATCGGATCATTTTATCGTCAGAACGTCGTTGTTACCGTACGTAGTTATTACCGTGTTCTCAAGTGGCATGTGAAGATCGCCACTTAAAATTCTCATCACGAATACGATTACATAAATGATGCTTTAGTTGCTTTTAATAATTGATACATGCAAAGTTAAGATGGGTTCTTGGGCTAAGGAAGTAATAATTCGGATATAACGGTCATTGATATGAGTATCTGCTTATTATACAAGCACATCGAACATCGTAAAAGCACAATAGAGGCTTTATATTACAATTAAGTTCCATGAATCACGTTAAGTAGATTCATTGCCAAGTTACAGCAGCTTTTGCAGAAAGTACTCATGTAAGTACAGATGTGGTCCATACGCTTGCGTATGTGAATTTGTTGCCAATTTTCATATTTTCGTGATTACGTGTCTATGTAAAATTATCTTCAGTGTTACTGGAGCTTTGGCCAGAGTTAATAGGACTTCGACCCAGACTTTGGCTAGACCTTCCGGGAATTCCGTCTATGAATAAAATGAAAATTGACACGGAAAATTTGACAATTTTTCAATGTACAATTCCTCTGCTAAAACTTGTAACGCAGGAGACGCACGAGTATGCAAACACGAGGAATCGGTAACTCGGATAGGAATGTCGATGATAGAAGCATTCGTTCTGTTTCTTACGAGGGAATCGGAACACGGTCAGTCAACGGTTGGCTAGCAGCTGCTGACTTGAGATTTTGCTTGTCCGGCGAAGTAAATTTAGATCGTTCTACGCTCGGTTTCGCGAAAATACGCCTTTCCGCTAGCGGAAGGAAGGAAAAAAGGGACAAGGCATAATGATTTAGAAATGAGAGAATATAATTGTAAAGTAATTTTTTGAATAAGATTGTAAAGATCTGAATTTTGTCGTACATTACTAAAGCAGATTTTGATAAAGGATGTCAAAGTTTGGCTGTTTTTCAGCCAAAATGAAAAAGTTTCGAGATGTACAGATTATATATTATATTAAAGAGTTACTTAAGTGGAGTTAAATGATACATCGCTTATCTTGAGGAAACATCAGGAACATGGAAGAAATTGTTATCAATAACACAATAAATTTAAAAGTTGTTAAATAAGATATCGCGAGAATTAAGCAACACAAATTTAACTGTATTGCGAGCATTCAAATACATATAACTTGATAAACATATTCGTTATTCGAAGCTAAAATTCAAAATCAAACGATTATTTTATATCAGTCTTCGTTGCTTGAAAATATCCTCCAAGTTATAAGTGTTGTAACACTCGTAACAATACAGTCCTTATCGTTTAAATTTCCGGAATATCTTGATGTCTTATTCAACAATTTTTTATCAATAAAGTCGTGACAACATTAGATTTATTGATTTTTATATCACGATTTCTCCCGATATTTCTGATATTTCCCTAAGATAAACAGTATACCACTCGATTCTTAAATAGCCCTTTAACATGATATACAATTTGAATATCTCGGAGATTTTCCATTGGCCGAAAAATAGTTAAAACTTTGCATCCTTTCTTTTGCGAATATTAAAATGGAAGTTTTACGAACTTACAACTATTAAAATAAAGGAAAAAAAATATAGTATGTTTTAATTTGTAAACTATTATCTGCGCAATTTTTTTATTTTTAATTTTCTGCGTTTGATGGACATATAAGAGATGCAGTATATAATATGAAGTAAATTGAGAGAAGCGGATGAGTTTTCAATAGCACCTAAAAATAATGATTATTGATTTTTGGTAAGGTAGAGCGATGAAGTGCGATAATCATCACTGGCAGATTTCCTGATAAGAAATTTAGATGGTGAATGCATAATGAAGAAAATTAATAACGCCGTCATTTGTCATGACGATCGAAGCAACACGTTCCACTTAGTCGCATCGGGTTAGCTCTAATTAACCCTTTGTCGCGCGTGTCGTCAGCAATTATGATAAAATTCCTTGGTATCCTAGACGAAGGATATAAGTAAACAAAATTTTCCACATAATAGTTCATCTATATTTATGCAATGTTTATCCAATTTAAAAACGATCATAAAAATTCCGATAGTGTTCAAAAGATATCATTTTAAGATTAATACATTTAAATTATAGTAATACAGAAGATTTCTAGTAAAAAAGATTCCACAAATTCAAAATTTAATATGTTTTGTTAATTAATATCGTTAAAAATATTAACTCAGTTTTTCTTGAAAATCTGATTTTATGACAAAAAGATAAAGAAAAAAATGAAATGAATAGAAGCTTCAGCTTGTTTACTTCATTTATGAGTAGCTTTAGAGATGCGACAGCAAATTACGTAAATGACTTTTAGTGGTTATGAACAACTGATTTGTTGAAGTATGCAGTTTCACTAAAACTATCAATGTGAAGTGAACAAACACGCTATCATTACCAATCGCATCAGGTGCGTTTACGTAATTACGAAATTTACGTAACTCAGACATACCGAGGATAGTATCAAATGTGATTTCAATGCTAACGTCGAAAAAAGAAAAATGGTCGCGATTGTGTCACTCGATAAATAAAGTACACGTACTTGTGCATTTGGCAAAAGATGATCTTCTGCTGCCTTGACCAAGGGCTCCTTAGCGACTTTATTGCCGTCGCTGTAAGATCTGTAGGGACTGGAGGCTGATATTGGTACCGTTATCATCTTGACTTCTGATCCTTCACGCAATAAATTTTTAGCGTTAGTCTATCGGTCTCATGCGGAATAAATTTGCACACCTTATTACACTCGATTACCTGGTACCTGTTTGTTCAAAATAACACGATCTTCAGCTTGTCGTCGAAACCGGTCATTGACCGAGATTAGAAACAAATCTTTTTTTTTTCTTAATTAGCAACTTTAGTCTAAGTTTAAAATTACTGAATAAAATTGTGGTTACGTTAAATATTTTTATTGAAAATTTTTTTGTCACGAGCTCAATATCAATTGCTTTTGATAATTAAGAACATTTGTCTAAAAGCGAAGTAGTGTAACGAAAAATATTTTAAAGAATACTAAGTGAAACTTTTGAACATAATCGATTTGTGAAAATATATATAAATTTATAGCCATAAAAGCAATCAATAGAACTAGTCAAAAACTTTTATAATTTTGCCAAGTTATACATTTATATGCTTTCAACATTCTTGGATGACAGACTTGAAGGGAATTTAAACGCGAAGTAACGTGAGCCTTGCAATTATTTTTAATATATAAATATTTAGTTATAGACAAATTGTAATAATGCTAACCCCGATAATAAAACTCTTATCATTAAAATTTATCCGAATTAAACTTACGATAAAATCTCAACTACATCACTGTTTTATTTTTCCAACGTCACCGCGTTAAATTCTGCATGAATTGTTCGTGATTTGAGAGGTAATCTTGTTTCTTCCGTGGCACTTGTAAATAAACGTGTTTTCGTAGTTTACGTTGCGTCGTTCGTCGTCTTCGCTGACGGCCGAGCAAACATAGACTGACGTATTGGAGCACGGCGACGCCACGGGACGAATGAACCACTCGACTGGTGGTTGCGCGCTGTCAGGTAATGCACGGTCCCTGTTTAGCACGTCCAATATTCCTCAAATGTGAAAACAGTGGCGCAGTTACTATTCGGCAATTAGAAGGGGTCGGCAATCATGATTTTCGGAGCGGATTACTTGCCTTTCAAGCGAGATATTTCCGTACAACTAATTCTATTTTAACTTTCAGAGGAAGTCTTAATTATTTCTTAAGCGAAGTTCAAGTATTTCGCCCTTAATTACGTCTAAAGGGTTTAATATGAATTAAAGAACTTTTATTTGAAAGAATTTAATCTTTTTAGAGAGTCCAAAAATATAATTTGCTGATCATAATCACGTAATTTCTCTAAACAAAATGTCTGGTTGAAAATGGATGAATTAAAAGATTTTGATTATATCAATTAGAGTTCCGATTATTATAACTAGAATAGATTTAACGAGAAAATTTTCATCGTCCATTTTTAATTAACCGCGAAATTCCAATTAATCTAGTTAGATATTTTACGTCTTATAAGTTAGAAACAAAGTGAGAGCAGAATCCATTCTAATTAACATTTTTATTTGTTGTTCATTTGTTGCTAAAAAGTTGCCAAAAAAAAATTTTTTTGCTCTGTCAGTTTTTTAAAAATTATATTCCGCTAAAGAAAGATTAAAATTAGCGGAAAAATATACATATAACAAAGCCAATCTACTTCAAAATAACGTAAGAATTTGTTGCTAATTTGTTGCTGTCGAAATATAGATATTTAAATTCATTACCTACGAAGTAAATAAATAACAATGAAAAACCTCAGCGAACTGACGGAATAAGAGTAAAACATTAGTAAAAAATTTGTTGCTCGCTTAAAATTGATATTGAGATATCATCTGAATTTATTGCTTTAAAATTGATACTTGCATACTGAGAGATTTTCACACCTATTAATCGGATTAATAAGTGTGAAAATCTCTCAGTATGCAGGAAATACCAATTTTAAGCGAGTAACAAATTTTTTATTAATACTCTACTCTTGTTCCGTCAGCACGCTGAGATTTTTCATTGTTATTTATACTTATTTTGCAAGCAATAAATTCGTAACTTGCATATTTTGAAAGCAATAAAGTCAGATGACATCTCAGTACCAATTTTAAGCAAGCAATAAATTTTTTTACTAATACTTTATTCTTGTTCCGCAGCTTGTTGAGGTTTTTCGTTGTTATTTACTTTTATTTCGTAGATAATGGATTCAAAACTAGGATATTTCGACAGCAACAAATTAGCAACAAATTCCTACGTTATTTGAAGTAGATTGTTTATGTTATATTGTTTATACACATATATATATATATATTGGGAGTACAAATTAGTTCGGTCCGTTTCCTTAAAGATTGCTCCAGCTGTTGTGA